GAAATAGTAAGTGCTGTGCTGGCAATTTTTAGTTTCAATAAAACACTAGTTTGGTCTACACTTCAAGTTTTTAGAGTAGTAACACTCCAGAGAAGCCAGAGATTTCACTGAAATGGTTAGCAAAACTGACACTTCAGACTGCTGTAAGTCACTTATCTTTCACAAAAGCTCATACATATCACAAACACTCTTACATTGTTTCTGAAATCTTCATAATACAACTCGATAAAAATGAAGTTGCAAACGAAATGACAAAGCTTACCCTAGTGACACTAAAAATCACAGCAACAATTACATGCTGATGCTACATGTAAAGTTCCTGTAGTACCTGTCCTTCCTTCACATAAAGTATGAGACAACTTAATTTCAGTTACTTAGGTAAAAAAAAAAAAAATCATTTGTCACTCATTACAAGCTTTGTAGGTGATTCTAAGCTACTGATTACACACAAATAGAAGTATCGCAACAGCTTCTTGGAGCTTTTTCCAGCATAAGGAAAAGCAGAGTGGTGGGAAGTAAGTGAGAAAAGCAAATACTTTAAAAGCACTTCCCAGACACTTAAGGCAAAAGAGTCAGCTCTATGCACTGTGGCACCATTTTTCATCCCCAAGCAAAAACACCTTTGAATAATGTACACAATTTAGAAAGAGAAGACAGTCACATCTCCAGTAAATGCCATTTCAAATTCCTCTAACCTGAATTTCACCTGTTTGATTTTGATATCAATCAACATCTCCTGAACAGATAAAACAAAATGTTCAGTCTCAAATTTATCGCTTCCACTAAGTTCACTGAAATCTATTGTCCCTCTCACCACGTACTAAATATCCTGTTCTTCACAACAAAGTCTTCAAACTGTTAGAAATTGTGCACTTCAGGAATATATTTAATTGCCAAATTCTAGTGAATTCAAAAAATCTTTTTTCTTGAAACACACAAAGCAAGTGCCAGTTAACTTGTCCCAATGTTTTCACATTCATTTCACTCCACACTCAAAAACAATTACTCTTTTAGTGACCACCACAGCCATACAGCTCCCAGGACACAATCGCAATTTCAGCATTTGGCATCTTCCACAGACGCTATCGGTGCAGTGAAGGCCTGAGCCCTCCTCAAGGGCTACCTCTGCACACCTCCACAGAGAAGTTGTAGTCCACAGCCAGTGGCTAGCTGGTAATGTGCCCCCCCCTCCCCTGCGAGGAATCCACCAGATAAGGGAGGCTAAATAGCTTTTTCTTTAACAAAATCGAGTCTAAAGGGACCATCTGTGCACTTCAGCTCCTTGAGGAAACAAGATGTATGTGATCCCATGGATGAATGCATGCGAGCACATCTCAAACAACCCTAGCTGCCAAACTAAGTCAGCACGATAATGCCATATTCCTGAAAATTTCAATAAATGGGTCATTTTCACGCTATGCTTGGCCACCTATCAGCACCCCATGGAGGCAGAGCCTCAAACATGAGCTCACCCTGCTGACAACTGTGGAATCCAAGTGGAAGAGACTTTATGGAAACTCCAGGTGGAGCTCACACCTCCCCAAAGAGTTGGGTCACAAGGCAAATGTCAGGGGTCAAGGTGCCATCAGCTCCATAGCTGCTAAAACTGCAGGTGACATTACACACATCCCAAACTCACCAGTCAGAGCTCCTCCGAGGCTTCCTCTTCTGAACTGTCTTCCATCTTCACTCAGCTGCCTCTTAAATTTAGAACACTTCCCAGGGCCAGAAGAGACTTCAGGACTGCTGGATTTTCGAAAAGGCATAGGTGGGGGGGACAATATGTGATCAAGCTGCAAAAAACAGAGAAAAAAATATATATATATACTGTTTAAATGCTTACCTTCATTGAAAAAAAAAACAAAGTCACCTTTACCTAAAGATTATGACAGCATTTGGAAAAAGCAAGACCTTAAGGTAATTAAATTGCTAACTGCAACTGAAAATTTTGCAAGTGCCACATTTGCAGTTGGCTGTGTAAGAAAGCCACCCTCCTCTTGTACAGCTCACATCATCTCCAACCACATTCTAACACAAGGAGCATTTTTTGCAGTGGTCCCATCTCAAGGTACAAAGGATTGGACTTCAGCTTACTCGACTTTCCATAAAGCAGTCTTTTTGCAGCTGTGAACCATCCTGCCTTGCAACCTATGCTACCTGCTCTTGCCAACATTTTTCCTTGGCAATTTCTCCCCAGCTTCATGTGAGCAGTCACTAGATGGCACTGTACTATCAACAAAATGCAAACCACTGCCCAGTCTAGGCAAGTAACTGACAAATACATTGACACC